TCATATGTTGAACCACCCTTGCCTACCTGGGATAAATACCACTTGGTCATGGTGCATAATTTTCTTTAGACATTGTTGGATTAGGTTTGCTAATATTGTATTGAGCTTATTTGCATGTATGTTCATAACAGATATCAGTTTGTAGATTTGTATTCTAATAATATCTTTGTCTAGTTTTGGTACTGAGGTAATGCTGTTCTCATACAATGAGCTGGGAAGTACTTTATCTTCTATTCTCTGCAATAGATTGTGGGAAGTTGGTATATTTTCTTCCTTAAATGTTGGCTTCAGTTCTCCTGTGAGCACATCTGGGACAGGTGCTTTCTGTTTTGAACGTTATTATTTGTTTACTCAGTTTTCATAATAGATACAGGCCTATTTACATTGTGTATTTTTGTGTGTGTGAGTTTTGGTAAACTGTCTTTTAAGGAATCGGTCCATTTCATGTACAATGTCAAATGTGTGGAGAGTTGTTCATAGTATTTATTATTTGTTTAATGTCCACAGGATCTGTGGTGATGTCCTGTTATTCATTTCTGATATTACTAATCTCTGTCTTGTGTTCATTATCTTTTTAGTTAGCCTGGATAGGCTTATCAATTTTATTGATCTTTTTAAAGAATCAGCTTTTTAGATGTTTATTTTTCATCCAGATTTTCTTTTTCAATTTTATTTCTGTTCCAGTTTTTATTTTCTTCTGCTTCCTTTCAATTTAATTAGCTCTTTTTCCCCCCCTACTAATTCCCAAAGTGGAAACATAGATTATTGAGTTTAGATGTGTGTTTTTTTAAGTATGCATTCAGTGCCATAAAAAATTTTGAGAACACTGTTATTTCTGTATCCTACAAATTTTGGTGTCATTTTCGCTTTTTTTTTCCTTTTGGTGGCTGTCCAGTATGGGAATCTAAATCATTGACTTTAGCATTACAAGGCTGTGCTCTAACCAAGTGAGCTAATTGGTCAGCCCCATTTTCACTTTCATTTATTAAAAGTATTTAAATTTTTTCTCGGTTTTTCTTATCTTTTTATTGTTGTTGTTCATTTGTTTTTGAGCCCATGTATTAGAGTGTGTTGTTTAATCCCACTCTATTTGGGAATCTTGTGGTCATTGCTCTGTTACCGATTTCTAGTTTAATTATTTTGTGGTCTGAAAGAGCATATTGTATGATTTCTATTATTTTAATTTTCCTAAAGAGCGTTATATGACTTTGAATATGGTCTTAGTGATTTTATTTATGTGAGTTTGAGAAGAATGTCTATTCTGTTGTTGTTGGAAGAAGTAGTCAGTAGATATCTATTATATCCAGATCATGTTATTGAGTTTAATTATGTCTCTTATGGTTTTCTACCTGCTGAATTGTTTCATTTTTGATAGAGGGCGTTGAAATCTCCAGTTTTTGTTTTTTTTTGTTTGTTTGTTTTTTTGTCTTTTTCTGTGTCCGGCAACGGATCGCAACCCTCAGTGTTGCCCCCGT